CATAAATAGAAGGATTTGATCTATGTACCACAAATTTTTGGCTAAAATTAATCGTTATTTAAAAAAGTTTTATTAGTGGCGTATTTGTGAAACACAGGTAAAATTTTTTTTGCATAACGATCCTATATGAAAATGATCTACATTCACCCTACCCTTAAGTGAATTGTTTCTATAAAGTGTATTGTTTCACTTTTAAAGTGCAATTTAATTTGAGTATTTGGTTTATGAATTAATTAAATTTCACTCTGATAAAATTTTTATTAACTTTTTATATAGACTATTTCTAGAGTACTAGTTATATTAAACTAATTTTATAATGCATCAGAAGATTTTTCAAAAAATATATATATTTGGTAATTTATTGTTCTACAAAGTTACTTCACAAATATTTTTACTATTTTTCGAATTATATATCTTATGTTAGGTATATTTCAAAAAACTTTAGTTATTTTGAAGGTTTATAATTTACTTTCTGATTAATAGCACTAGCAATTGAACGAGATGTTGCAATTAATGCAGTCTTAAGGGCTAGCAAAATTTGCCAAAAAGTTTTTCAAAACCTTGTGACGAGTGATACTGTTATTAAGAAGGATAGATCCCCTGTTACAGGTATTTAGAAAAAAAATCTTTACATTCTTGTTTATGTTTAAAATATATATTTTTTATTTTACATTAATTTTTTTTCTAATTCAATTATTTTAAAAAGTTGCTGATTTTAGTGCACAAGTAGTGGTAAACAAAATTTTATATGAATCTTTTCCAAATGATCCAATTGTTGGAGAAGAAGAATCTGGAAGTCTACGAGGTGATAACGGAAAAGAACTGAGAAATAAAGTTTTATCATTGGCTAACACTGTACTAGATACTCTCTTGAATGATAATGAGGTTTGATAAAATGATATTATTTTATTATTTATTATAGATAATTATTATTGTTTATATTTTTAATTTAATTAATTTGAATAACAGTTATTGGATACTATTGATAGAGGAAGCTTTCCTGGTGGCTCAAGTGGACGTTAGTGCTACAATAAATTTTAAAATTATTCATTATATTAAAATAACTATTAAAAAATTTGAATTAGGAATATGGGCTCTTGATCCGATAGATGGAACCATGGGATTTCTTCGTAGAGAACAATTTTGTATTGGGTTAGCTTTGATTATTGACGGAGATGTTCGCCTTGGTGTTTTAGGGTGTCCGAATTTACCAGTAGATTTTAAAGCACCTGAAGGTGAAAAAGGATGTTTATTTGTTGCCATTAAGGGGCAAGGTGCTTTTCAGGTAATAATAATAATAATAATAATAATTCAGCTTTTACAAATTATATTTAAAATTTTAATCTTTTGAATTATAAATTAAATAATAGCGTAAGTTTTCTACATCAGAAGAAACACAAATCCGTCTTGCAGATATTTCATCACCATCTGCAGCCTTATTTTGTGAATCAGTTGTAGCCGAACATTCTTCACATAGTGATGCGGCAAAAATTGCATCATTTCTTGGAATCACAAAACCACCTCTCCGCATGGATAGTATGTGTAAATATTGTGCTGTTGCGAGAGGTGATGCAGATATTTATCTAAGATTACCTGTCCGTGTTGATTATGACGAGAATATTTGGGTACATATCATTAGAAGTTTATACATTTTTTTGTACTAGTATTAATAAAAAAAATTTTTTTAATAAGGATCATGCAGCCGGATGCATTCTTATTAAGGAAGCAGGGGGTATTGTTTCAGATATTAACAATAAACCTTTAGACTTCTCTTTGGGAAGAACATTAAAAACCAACAAAGAAGTTGTAGTTGCACATTCTAAAATACATGGACAAGTTATTGATGTAGTTCAGCGAGTTATTTTAAAAAAATAGGCAATAATCACTTAAAATTATTCATAATTATAATAATTCAAAGGTTGTATAATCCAAATAACTAAAAATTACTTTATATTACATTTTATTTAAATAAAAAAAAAAAACCTAAAATTAATCTCAATAACAACCTAGATTTAAAAATTTTACCAATAGCTTAGCGATTTCAGGTTATTATAAGTAGTCTTATGCATTTCTTTCATTCAGCCATTAAAGACAGTGGCGTGCTATACAATTTTTGTTTAACTTGAGAGACATGTACTTATATTCTACTATCTTCCTTTTCATTAAAGAGTAACTTGATATATACGTGATAATAATTAAATAAAAATATAAAATTTTTTAAAATAAAATTAAAAGCCGGTTGCCAGTCATTTTTAATCTTTAAGATTATGAGAACCAAAAAATTATTTTTGCATGGCCTAATTAATAAACATAGTATTTAATTTTTTATTTCCTTTTTTTTTTGTCTTATTTTATAATAATTACAAGATTTTAAGTTTGATTTAACATTGAATTTGTTACTAGTACTTATGTGTAACTCTTGAAAGTATCAAAATATACCTTTCAACTCAAGTAAATATTGAAGTTAAACTTGGTTTAATAGGAATTGGAACCGTTATACATTTTTCTCGAATCTTAAATGTCATAAAAAAAATTTTTTTTATAAGAAATTATTGTTCAATTGGTAGATAATGCAAATTTAAAAAGAATTTCACATAAATTTTTAAAAAATTTTTTAATTTCATAAGAAATATAATATGATGTAGCATAAAATAATGACTGCAATAATGAACCTACGCACATAAAATCTAATACTTCTACAAAAATTAATCATCATCTTCCACATATATCAAACGCTTCTTGAATGTATTTTCAGCTATTTCGATGACTCTTTTTTTGTCAAGCACCTTCTCAATCACAATCGATTTAGATTTACAAAACTTATCAGCCTTCTCACTTATCTTAAAATTTGGAAAATATTCTAAAAGCCCATTCTTTATAAATTCAAAATACTCAGAAACACAATAAAACCCATATCCCCCTTCAACAAAAACACGCCATTCTCTACTATAATTAACAAATG